TTTCTACTTCTTTAACACACTTATAATCCTCTTTATAGGTAGTGTGTGGTATCATTGGAATCAGCTCTTTGAGCTCTATCTCATGATGACAATCATTTAACTTGTAATCATTGGTGATACTAATCAATGATGATATATTCCCTTCTACAGGGATTACATCCTCAACAACAGCCATTCATCTTCATGAATAGGATTCAATTTCAGGTATCTTGTTAATTATGGCCATGTCCCCAAATGGTCCTTTTCCATTTCTTTTCCATTTCCCTCTTTTTTGTTCTTTTGCAATCTCCCTCAACTCAGGCCCCCCTATATTGTATTTCTTTGTGTCCACTCCAGAAATACAAACCTGACTTAGTTCCGAGCCCATAGCAGTGAGACATGCTCTATTAGAGTAACTCTCATCTGTTGTTCTGAGTCCCTGCGCATTCTGTGCTCTTGATTTCCCAGCTCATCCTTTCTGTCTTCTCTGGCCTTAGGTCACATTTTTTTCACGGTTAAAGCCTGCTCAACCTTCTTCACTAACCGCTAAAACTCCATACACTCTTCCTTAAGTTGATTCAGCACTTTCAAGCAAGCGGATATCCGGCGCCAGTCCGCGTCTCCGGGTTCCACCTACAGTCACCAGAGGACAAACCTTTTTGAGCTTCCCGGATCGGATTCGGGGACCCCTGATGCAGTTCCTTGCAGAACACTGCGGAAGTGTCTTGACCAAGAAAGACGTCAACAGACTCACCCCCGGGAAAAAACCCACACACGACAATCCTATCTGAAACGGAATGAGAATCATCATCAAGGGAGGCGTCTGGAGGAACACCGAGGATGAGATCCTTAAGGCGGCCATTTCCAAGTATGTTGACTCATGTCATAAATCAACTACTCAAACAACTAACAGAAATTTACCTTGTCGACTGATGATCATGTCGCAGATACGGTAAAAACCAATGGGCACGAATATCGTCCTTGTTGGTTCGGAAAACTCCCAAACAATGTAAAGCCCGATGGTACGAATGGCTAGACCCATCGATCAAAAAGAGTAAGCCTGCCAAGAAGATTGTCGGCCACATTTTAAGGCTCATGGTGCAAGTGGTTGACGTTTCGCTCGCATTTTTTTTGAACAGCCGAATGGTCAAAGGAGGAAGACGAGAAGCTTCTCCATCTCGCCAAGCTGATGCCAACACAGTGGCGCACCATAGCACCCATTGTCGGCCGAACCGCCAATCAATGTCTGGAGCGCTATCAGCGTTTGTTAGATGAAGCCGAGCAACGAGAAGCTGCCGAAGGGAATGATGATCTAGGCCTCACCGGGACCGGGGCTGAGGCCGGACCCAGTGCTGATGACGTGCGCAGGCTACGACCTGGTGAAGTGGACCCGGACCCCGAGGCTAAACCTGCAAGACCGGATCCAATTGACATGGATGAAGATGGTTTGCAGTTTTGAGAGTAGCTTAGCTCTCATCTAACTCACAACTGATACGATTCTATGATTCGATCTTTACAGAAAAAGAAATGTTATCCGAGGCGCGCGCCAGGCTCGCAAATACCCAAGGCAAAAAGGCAAAACGGAAGGCGCGTGAACGACAACTAGAGGAAGCCAGACGATTGGCCATGTTGCAAAAAAAACGGGAACTCAAAGCTGCTGGGATTATGTAAGGCAATGCTTTATATTCATTTACCAGTGAACTGCCACAGATTACCCCGCCAGGTTGTTACTTCCTGCTTAACTGCTTCATTCCCACCCTTCTACCATTCAGAATGCGAATGAGACCCAAAAAAGATGGCATGGATTATAATGCCGATATCCCATTCGAAAAGCAACCTGCCCCCGGATTCTATGATACAACGCAAGAAAAGAACAAGTTTATTGCTGCGCCGGTTGGGAAGAATCTTCGTCAGCTGGACTCCCACAAACGTACCCGTGCTGAGGACGAGGAAGAGCGGCGCAAGCGAGCAAGAAAGGCCAAAGAGATGGCAGCCGACAAGGATGCTTCTTCCCATTTCGTTCCTGCCAAGGATAGTCTAATCCAGCGGCAAAAGGAAGAAGCCAACATTCTCAAGCGACGCGCGTTAGTTTTACCTGAACCGCAAGTTGGAGACTCCGAGCTTGAAGATATCGTGAAGATCGGGCAGGCCGGCGAAACAGCTAAAAATTTAGTCGAAGATGGTGGCGAAGGCGCCAGTCAAGGCTTGTTGGGGGAGTATTCCACTCTACAACATGCGCAAACCGCCCGGACACCCCGCACCCCCGCTCAAGCTGACAATATCATGGCTGAAGCCCGAAACCTTCGTAACATGACAATGGCTCAAACCCCTTTACTCGGCGAGGCTAATACGCCATTGCATGAACTGGTAGGCCGTGGCACAGGATTTGATGGTGCTACACCTGCACGCGTTGTCACTGCGACTCCCAATCCACTGGCGACACCTTTGCACTCGAAAGGTCGCGACCCTAGTGCCACTCCTGGTGGCGATAACGTCAGTGTCGATGGCACACCAATGAGGACTCCCAAGGCCCGCAATACCCTCAACATCAACGCAGGTGATGATAAATCGATGATAGGCGACACGCCTCGCGCACGGGACGTGGATGTCAAGCAGCAATTGAGGCAAGGCTTCATGGCGCTTCCGAAGCCCAAGAATGATTACGAACTTGTCTTGCCGGAGGAGGAGCAAGAGCGTATCGCGGAACTGGTAGATGAGGCCGGATCTATGATTGAAGATGCGGCAGACCGCAAGGCCAAAATGCAAGCACTCAAGGCTGCCGAAGAACAGAAAGCGCTTGCGAGACGATCGCAGGCCATTCAACGTGGTCTTCCACGACCGGTTGAGTTGGACGAACAGCGCTTGAGAAAGAGTTTAGATCACGGCCCTAGTAGTAAATTAGAAGACGATCTTGAGCGCCAAATCATGGACGAAATGATTCAACTCTTGTCGCACGATGCAGTGGTCTATCCGGTCGCAGGTGGTAAGGTACCTGGAGGGGGTCGATCGAATTTGCCCCAATTAGAAGATGAGGCGATCGCGGCAGCCAAAGAGATGGTGCATTCAGAGATGGCTAACAGTTGTGGATTCCCCGGTGCGAATGCCGAGCAAATCAAGCGAGTTGCTGTGTTGGCCGAAGAAGAGGTATTTAAACGGACGTGGGAAGATTGCTCGAGCAAGTATGCTTTTGACGCTCGCACACTCAGCTGGGTGGAGTCCTCGACGCTCGATGAGCACATGAAGATTACCGGCTTGAAACACATGATTGATGAGGGGCGAACAAACCTGATCAAAGATGCGAATGCCTGCAACAAGGCAGAAAAAAAATTGAACAAGTTGGTTGGCGGCTATCAGGCGCGGTCGAAGGCCTTAAGTGAGAAACTGCTCGGTAGAGTGGCAGAGTTGAACCGATACCAAATTGAGCTTGCCAGCTTTGAACGACTCGAAATCAACGAACAAGGCGCAGCAACTAGGCGGATTGAGAAGTTAGAAGAGGAGGTCCGAACTTTGACTCGTCGTGGCAGAGAAGGACAAGATACTTACAAAGTATGTCTTTCTGCAGACCCAGCTTACATTTACTTATGCAACTCATGTTGACCAAATTGATTTGCCTGTTTTGCAGGAACTTGTAGATGCCAAGGCTCTACTTCAAAACGAAATCGAGGACATGAAGGCTGAGATAACAGTAAGTTAATGACAATGTATTCAATCATACGACTACAATCTTATCTGACTTTCCTTTCTTTTCAGATGCGAGAAGTGGAAGCGGCAAACGAAGCTGCATTGGAAGCCACATAGCCCGTTGCGTATTGCAGTAGCTCAATTGGACTATTCCTTCCACGTTCCTTTCTGTTCTTATCATTCAAAAAATTGAACCACTATTTTCAGACCAACTAGGGCATGGTTCATCCAGTGCAAGATATGAAAAAAGACTCAACTGCGGGAGAACGGATTCACAGTAGGGATGATTGACAGCTGCGTGGTAATTGTTCCGGTTCTCAATCTCCCATCTGGTGACATTGATCCTTGCTCTTCACTCATATTGTCCAGTCGTCTGTCTCTATGTCTCAGTTATACTGAGGTTGTGAGTTTGGATCTCACCAGACACAACTACATTTTGGATTCTAACACAGTGGGCCAGCTATGCTGCCTGTAGTGTTAGTGTAGTGTAATGTTAGCTTATTAAGCTACACTACCTTCACACTACTGTTAGCTCCAATTTTTGACAACTAATGCTACAGGATTTTGAAAAAAAACCTTAGTGTAGTGTGAGTTGAGCCCCCCAACTAATATGACCAAATCCACCATTATGTAATTGACTGGTTTTCAAAAACCCACCATTTTGAAAACATGTTTTTTCTTTGCCCTGCACATCTTAGGACCCATTAATGGAGAATTTGATTTTTTTAATAATTCACTGATTTCTAATTGTGGATTTTTTATATTTGGTACCCCCTAATAACTGTAATAATTATCACAATCAATTCCAAACATGTGGGACTCTAAAAATCAAGGAATTCCAATCACTTACATCCAATACATTCCCTGTCTTTCTCAGCATGAAAAATACAATTTTCCATCTGAATTTCTCTCCAGGGTTACAGGTTGAGAAGAGCTTACAGTGAAGATCAAAGCTATTATCTTTTTATTATTCATTGTTCCAGGAAATCCTCACCCATCAACCATTCCCAAACTCCCATTATTACTCCTAGTGCAACCCAGTTCCTTTATGGCACTAGATTACTAGCACAGAGACTCCGAGAGCTTCAAAAATAGTGCAAGTCAAGTGATTCAAAACCAGTTGATAAGCTTGGGCTAACTAGCCTCAACAGATGATTCCAGAGGGTCTAAAAGCTTTGATGAGCACTAACATGGTCTTATGGTGTTTCAATTTTGTTTGGGCATCCAGCAAACTTGAGCAGATTTAAGCCCAAGCATGCTGGGCCAAACCTAAAGCCAGCTTGGCACATACCAAAGCCTGGTGGGCATATAGCCAAGTTGGGGTGGGTCACAACTCCCGCTTGGTCAATGGCCAAGTGAGAGTGCCATGCCTGCCAAGCTCGGTCAGCGGGCAGAATTCCTAATTGGAGGTAGGATCAGAGTCAATGGGGGTATTGACTGATTTATCATTACTGCTCTACACAACTATAATCTGTGTTATGAATCTAGAAGCACAAATTGAAATTAAACATAAATAAGAAAGAAAAACACCATATGAAAATTTGGAATGCACATCTCTACTGTCATTAGCAATGAAGGCCCCCCCCCCCATCAATTCAAACAACAATCATTGGAGCTCTGAGATTTACAGGACAATGGTTCCTTTGTTAAGTTGTCACAACCCCATGTGTTTTGCTAGTGTATATAGATATCTGAACACCTCTCTACCTCCCCTCTCAAACGTGCTCCCAAATGAGACTGATTAAGAGTGTGTCAAATAATATGCACCGCAAGATAGTTACCAAGAAACTCTGGAATCAGAACTACAATCACTTCACATCCCTCCCCTAGATATTCAACTTGAACTCGCAACCTCAGCATTCATGAGTGATGCTCTAGCCATTGACATAACAAAATTCCGATTTTGTCGTGCTGACGAAATAGCGGGGATTGATCTGCAGTTACTGCAGCAGTCACACACAAAATGTTGTCGGCGCAACAAAATTTTAATTCCATCAGCTATGCGTGCGCAGTGTGTGAGTTTAGTACACATTGCTATTGTGTTGGTATATTTTGAGTACATGAGTTATGTACAGGTTGTTTGTGGTGTTTTGCCTCCAATGTTGTTGTGAAGTCTCACGTGGATGTGTTAGCAATGTGTATCAAGCAGCGCCTAGTTTGACACTTCAACATTGGAGAGGTGCTCTGAAACACAACCCTGTGGTTCCAACACTTTTAACCAACTTAACTTGGTTGATGTGACTCTCATGAATTTGGCTGTGCTTACCTCTAAGATTGGTAGAAATCACAAGCATCTAGAGTAACCACAAGTTAACATTTCGAGAATGGTGTGACGCATGTGGAATTGACCAAAAGTTGTTTCATCCAATCACCAAAAGTAAGGAGTACTCCACAAAGTGCTGGGATTCAGGGTAATCGGAGAAGGTGCGACAGTGTCGATGGTGGATGAAAAAGACTAGACAGTAGACATGCTTTCCAACTGTAGGTTTTGACGATAAAGCGAAATCCGACGATTCTAAACCTGAGTGCCCAACCATTCTTGTTCCTCCTCGTATTCGATTTCCATCCGAGGTTTCCTTTTTTTCCTTGATTTGGGATCTTGTGGGTTGGTCGGCCTGATTTTTTTCTCGGCGGGCGCACTGGCTGGCTGACCGGCCTTTCGTTTGGACGATGATCCTTTGTCGATATTGAGATCGAGACCCTCAGCATCATCCATACTAGAGGCGTCATTGTCTCCATCGTTCGAGTCTTCGCCGTCTTCATCATCAGAACCTAGCTGTAAAACCCAAGACGCATCATCAGCATAATGCGGCACAGAAAAAGTACATCTGGGGGTAGATGCAGTACCCCGTCCCAGTCCTCCATGTCCTCCAAGTCACTTTCCTCCAAATCGCTAACGAATTCACGCTCCTGTTCCTCGTCTTCGTCATCACTATCTTCGTCAGTTTCTTCATCCTCTAATTGTAAATCGTTATCCTGCTCGATCTCCTTGCGCTTCTCTCCTTCCAGGACCGATCTCCAAACGTCCTCGTTGACGTTTAAAGGTGCGTCACCATAAGTTTTGGATTTTAATCTTCCAATCAACTCCTTTTCAAGAGTTTTCGTCAATCGAGCAGCTGAAAGAGCTTTAGCTTCTCGGGCGCGTTCACGTCTCTCAGTTTTGGACTTGATCGCCACTAATTGGGGCCTAAGGGTTTCAGCAACCAGACGTGAGCAAAATGAGAATATATGTTGAAGTTTGTCATCAGAATATGAAAAGAAGAGCCACATACAGTTCTTTATTCTTCAGTCTTCGAATTTTGATCAAATATTGCGTAATCTTTGTTAATCGCTGTTTACATCGGTGGATCATGTAAGCCGGCCAATATATCAGGGAGCTATCGATCTGGACCGGTGAAAGGATATTTTAGAGCAGGGATGAGATCGGTTCCAGGAATCCTGTCAATCATCGCCTTGCGAAAGCGTGACTCAACTTGTTCAAGTGCCTTGGCATAGTTAGTCGATAAGCGTGTTTTTTCCCAGAGATTAGCTGGCGAGTGGGCACGTTCAACCGTTTTTTGAAACAAATAAACGATACCTAAGTAGATATCATATGACAAGCAGAATTAATACAACTTGATCCTCATGGTGAAGAGATAGCTACGATCAGTGACTTACCACCGATTTCTCTAACGGTCGCATATCGAGAATTGGCTAGTGGACAACTGGCTTTATTGCAGAGCCCGGTAGCATTATACTCGTTTTTACAGAAGTTCTGTCCGACAGCTTTGTTGTGAGAGTGGCCGCCGCCCGGAGCGGCCTTGATCTTGTAAGAGCAGAACTGGTGGTTTCTATGTTATCAGATCAACATTCGATGATCATCAAATACGCCATTGTATCAGTCTTCCTGGTCCGATGTTACTACTAGAAGGAGGATGAAAGATGGACTTGCATGATTGACCATACCACATCGTCGGACTGCATTTGGGATTGGACTTATGCCGTTCTCGGGCTGAAAGGATGAGTTCGCTGATGGAATTATCTGTTGACCGTCCTCGTGGTGTTGATGGCAGTGGGTTTACCGCGAAAAGCTCGCACTGCACTCAAAATGAATATTCAAAACACCACCAATTCTCAACTCAACCTGAACCTGACTCCACTTCAGCTTTTGTGGTGTTGGCGATTGATTGCATTGCCAGCATTAGCGAGACTCAAAGTAAAAAATTGCGCGCAAGCAAGCCGCGCAGCAAGATGACTTGCGGCCCGCATTTTTTTTTATTGTGTTTACCAAGAAGCTTGGTGTCAGCCTACCTGATGCCAAGGAAGGTTCCTTCTAGCTACAGGAGGAGCAAAATAGTCTAAGAACTTTAGGAGAGGGCTCCTTTGGGCAGTTCTGGACGAGTGGAAATGGTATGGGTATGGATATCCAGGGG